AATTGGCTTTTGTGGTGGGAAATAAAAAAAAAAAAAAAAAAATTTCTAAAAGTAAATCTAAGCTCATACGAGGAAATTAGAAAAAAATAAATGAAAACTAAACACGGAAAGTTCTCGTCCATACTCATTCGAATAAACAAAAGTCTTTCAAAATTTTAAACTGCATTTTGTCCGTGTTTTACAGTTACAAAGTGTAAGGGAGTTGTTCGATTACGTTTTGAGAATTTGTGATATGAGAAGTATATTTGATCTAGTTTTAGATAAAACTTAACATAACAACTTAAGATAACAAGTTTTAGATAAAACTTCAACCGTTTACCACAATGTCTGATATCGTTTTATGACACCTACTGCTTCGCTCATCATCGTTGTATTATTGTTACCAAATGGAGCTAACTCACAAAAGACTGACCCTAATAAAAAAAAAGACGATAGATCATCTGACACTTCCGTTCACTCTTTTGTTCTTTGGCCTTATTATCGTTTCGATTCTGGGAGTATGTATTTATTACACCTGTAAGAGCTGTTGTTTTCGCGACATGTGTATGTAAGTATTAGTCATATCTTCTTACACACAGTTATTGATACGATTCTCGCTATGTATATCAATAATCGCTTCTTTGAATAACAAAAGTAAGCGTGAATAATCAAGTGATTATCAAAAAGATGTCAAAAGATTTTGATGAAAATAGTTTAGAATATGACCTAATTGAGAATAAAGAAAATGAATCGATAGAAAAAGACGATAATGATGATGATATTGAGATGCAAATATTATCTGATTCAGACGAAGATACTTTCGTAGAGTCGATAGACAGGTGAAATAAAATGTCAGTTATTTGGCTGATCCGACTTGTTGATAACTGACACCGACATGCCGAATATTGCAACCCACACAGTGCCTATTGAATCCTTCATAACAGGCTAGTTTTCTTTTTCTCCTTGCAAACTGTAAAAGAACTTTTTTATTAACTTTGTTTATTGAAAGTCAAATCAGATACAACTATCATCTGGAAAGCAGTAAGAGTTTTGTGTCCAAGGAGACCTCTTTTTACTGATTTCTTTATTTCATTTCTTCTAATTCTTCTCTGTAGGTGACTACACATGAAACAGTGAAGTTTTTCGCGATAATATATCATATGGGCAGTAATCAGAAGCATACGCTTCAAGATTACTGCTCAACTGATCCATACAAAATTACGCCTATATTTCATTCGTCTAAACTTTTATCGCGTAATCGATCTCTGAGGATTTTACGCTGCGTAAAATTTTTACTATTGACATAAAATCTAATTTTGCACGATCGTTTAGATTTTTACGCTTTGCCGACTATGAAAACTGGGATGAAAACGATCGGTTGAAAAGAATTCATTCATTTCTAAACGCTGTAAGCGGATTATGTCAGTCAGTTTACATTCCATCTCAGCATATCGCTACGGATGAAACTCTGTTATTGTACATATTAGCGAAAAATCTTCCAAAATGTGCGCGAAACATGCGGACGATAAACTGAAATATTGGTGCACAATTTGTTCACAACTTGTTTATCGAGACTGTCTTCTATTTGCACACAAAGATCATATGGTTGTATCAATTCAAGATAAGTGCAAGAAAACAATGGATGAATTTCGTACATTCGCTAAACAGAATGAACTGAAAAAGAGCAATTTAAGTACGTTGAGTAACAAATTGACCTGCGCTCTCTATGAACAACAGCGGAAGAAAGAAGAAATGAAAACTGACATTCAGCAAATGACAACCAAATGTTTAATTCTGTTGCTTAAACGAGAAAAGCAATTGCTCGAAGAAATTGAGAATAGTGATCAGAAACAGCAGTTGCAATTGAAACGACAGCAGCAACAAGTGAGAGCGCAATTAGAAGATTTAACGACAAAAGACGTGTTTCTTCAGAAAATTATGAAAATAGAAGATCCTATCAGAGTCCTGCAGGCGAGGAAAGATATTCTTACAACACTTTCATCGATGAACAACCCTTATGAGGAATCATTTACAGTCTACACATATAGATTTGACCATAGAAATTACGCTAGTTTATCGACGATTGTCGGCGAACTTGGTGAGATTTTCATTAGCAAATATAAACTTGACAAAACAGATGCAACATCACCAATTACATCCATACTAAATCTGTCAAAGCAGAACGGTATCGAAAAGCTTAACGCATCTACATATCCAGGTGGTTACAAACTAACATTGATTAAATCTATTAAACTTCATGCTATATGGATTAAAACCAAGAACTGTTCAATAATGAAAATTTTGATATTCAATCGAAATCGCTTATTGACAAAAGAGTTAATAGTCAATATCAATCAAACTTCGGCTGAAAGTGAATGGTGGACAATCTCAGTCCGTCCACCGGGAAAAGACAGTTGGAAATACAAAATGGCGGTTATATTTTATTGTATGCAAACAAAAATGATTCCAGCGCGATTTGTTTTAGATATCTGCGTAAAAAAGAATTATGACCAATCGAAACAAATTGTACGGTCGAAGATGTTTTCGTCAAAGATGAGCGGTTTGATCAAAATAATGTAATGTTCTCGCCCAGCATTCGTGCCATTGAAATGCGGTTAGAAATTATCGAGCAGAGTAACTCATTTTAACAAACGATTTTTTGCAAAAAAGATCCGCGTCTATAAAACTACATATTTTGGGTCATAAACTAAAGATAATCTTGAAATGAATTCGAAGCTTATCGTATGGAGAATCGGTTTTATGCTACTATTTTATTTTTCAAATAAAATGTCAAAAAAGTGAGTTATTCTAGGTTTCGATTTACTCGACGGTCTCCACCAGTTGGATATACAAAAATCGTAAGAAGGATATTGGAAAGATATATTTCATTAATATACTAGCCGTATTCAGCACACTGTGATATGTACTGTCGCTGACTGATGGTATATATTTTCGTAACTGATTTCCAATTTCACCTTTCCCAGTTGAACGCACGCATTGTAAACCTGTCGTTCAATTATTTCTTTTTTTATTTGTTCTTTTTAGCTTCTAAAGTTACCAGAATTAGCTTTCCAGCCTCAGTTTTTGGTGAAAAATAAGAAAAAAGTGGTTTGAAATTTGAAAATGCAAAAATGACGTTGAAAAACCTTAAAAAAAGGAAAAATTAGCTTTTTCCTATCTAAGCCGGTGAGCTCGATCCAACGATGCCAAAAAGAAGTGAAACAAAAATCATGCTATATCTTTGGATTGGCAGCACATTATTTCGCTTTCATGTCACAAACTTTATTCAGGATTGGTAGGTGAAGGAAAAGCTTTGGGCAGA